TTTAAAGAAGCGTGCACAATGTCATTCATCAACGTCAAGGAGCTATGGCTCTCTAGTTTGGCTTTCTCAATTGGTCCAATTAAGGGCTTTAGCCATACATCTGCTTGACCCGATTTCCTTAAAAGATTGCCTCAGCGGGGACTTCAATAATCACTTGCCTCATAGCGCCACTCCTACTTGTGGAGCCAACTTCAACACATGGGGTGATTAGAGGAGGAATTGTCGAAGGAGGAACAATAGAAGTAGTAAAGACAGTCTGGGGAGGAACGAAAATAGCTGAAATCGGCAAAGAAGGAGTCACAGACACGGGTATAGAAAAAGAAGCCAGTGGTGCTTCATCTAGAACTGGGCCTAAGCCTTCACCACCAAACCCGCTGATAAAAGTTGCTCAACAGAATCATGATCAGTAACGGGAGCAACGTCATCATCAAAAATTACAACCGGGGCTTCAACAGACTCGGTAAAAGGAATAGAATGGCGGGGGGGGGGGGGGGGGGGTGCTTTTTCTTCATCATCAGAAATGATGCGTCTACGAGCCCGTGGCCTTGTTACCAAAGAGCCCCTGTCTTTCTCTTCTTCGGAATCTTGGTCATCAACGACTTTTCTTTTCGATGAAGAGCCCAGAATTATTTCTTGAGCCCTTTTCAAAGAGATACGAGAAGCCGCAACTGCCTCAGCAGTAACTCCTCGAATATCAAATCCTAATAGAAAGAAGGATTGGGTTAAGTTCAGGAAAAAAGAATATGTAAAATAAAATAAAAGCTCTTACCATGAGTTTTTACTTTCCAACCAAAATGTTGGGAAAGGGTCTTCCAAGATCTACCATCCACTGGTGCAATACTCAACAGTTTTCGTACCCAATCACGGAAATTGGGAACATCTTTCACAACTCTCATGGTTGTTAGAAAGGAAAAGTAAAATTAGAAAAATCAACAAAACTGGAAAAGAAGGTACGAGAAAGTTAGAAGACTCACGTGCAAAATTCCACTTCTCAGGGAAGGGAACGTTCTCATCACCCATTAAACCAACAGTGGGGGCAACAATAAACCTGGCATACCAACCACGGTCTTTGTCATCTTCAGGGCTAACTAGAACTCTTTTGCTCCTGGCAAATAGTGTAAAAATACTATTGCGAAAGAGTCTAGAGGAGTAAAGATGAATTAGATGTGGGAAAGTAAAAGGCACACTGGCTATGTTGGTCAAATGCCTCAAACAGGCAACAACCCTCCATATTATTGGGCCAATTTGACCTAAGCAAACATCAAAAAAACGACGGAACTCGAGAATAACAGGATCAATAGCAGGTTTGAATCCTAATGTGAAAGGGTACGTATAGATAAAGGAAAATCCGGTTAGGTAAGAGGTAATTCTTTGATTCGGATTGGGAATAATGATAGGAAAGTCATGACTCTAATGGCAGTCTCTACGAGCTAAAGAAATCAAACCTTCAGTGATTTGAGTGGGATAGATATCGGCGTGATCTAAAGAAGATACTTGATTTTTAAGAGATTCACTGTCGTTATAGAAAGATAGTTCCACGGGAACTATCTTATCTACTAGAGGTTCACGAAGAGGTTTAGAAGATTCCTTACCTATAGAAGAAGATCTGTGTGAAAGAGAACCTCTAGTTCTAGAAGAAGGGTCAGAACTAGGCGAAGGAAGAGAAGAACCACGCAAGGATGAAGATCTTAAATTACGAAGCCTACCTCCTCTTCTGCTCCTACTAGGGACATCAGGGAAGTTATCAACTATGGGGACCCTTCTAGGGTTAGGGTTTGATGAAGACATGATAGTACGAGGAAGAAATAAACAAAGATTCAAGAACTGAATATTTTGAAAACTTTATGTAATAAAGACAAAGAAGAAAACTATATTTATGCTACGAAGCAACCGTCAAAGGGAAATGTGCACTGATGGAAAGGTCATAATGAGAACTGACGCTTCGTGATTAGTGTAGACATGTGATTTTTGACCCTCCGCAAGATTCTTTTATATATTAGCGTAAATATTTAATTTAGGCATAATATAGATATTTTAAGTAATTTTGACTCTTTTACTCTATTTTATTACAAGAAAACAAAATTTACAAAAATAGGTTCATTAAGGTTTTTTAGTCATTTTTAATCAAAAAAATATACAAAAAAGGTATCGTATTTTTATTTTAATATGATATTTGAAAATACCAAAAATAAATTTGTTTTAATGATTAGTTTTATTTTAATAATTATTTAATTAGTAGGACTAATTAATAATTGAGATCGTATTTTTAGTCTTGTTCGCGGGGAAGAGATAGAACTTGGGCTCGAGCAACCCGCTTTTAGGCCTAATTTGGACCTAGCCCACAATTTCCAAGCCCACAATTCCTAGACCCATACCCCTTAACCTAAAAACCCTACCAAAAAAAGAAAAGAAAAACCTAAACTATATATAAAGAAGAAGAACGAAGAAGGCTGAGGAGAAAATACGCAGAAACTGTGCAGGGAACGAACCCCACCCATCGCTGCCTGAAACTCGTCGGGAAAAACGAGCTCCTCCAGCTCGTCGGAGTAACGAGTTCCAAACATGACAAGTAGAACCAAGATTTCACACCAGTAGCTTCCCATCTATAACACACACGCATATAGCTGCAACGGGAGGGCAGCAACAGCGAAAGCAGCAGGAGTGAAAGGGAGGTGACGAGTGGCGTTCGAAAAGTCGATGAAACAGTAGTCTCGATATAGGTTCGTCCGAGCTGTCCGTCTGCGAATCCGAGGTGCCGATGCAAGGTCCGTCGTTGAGTGTTTTCGTGTTTCCAGCGAAGTTTCCGGCGAGGCTTCGATGTCGAAGCTCTAACTCATAGATTCAGTTTTTTAGGTCCGTTGGATCCTTTTCTATTTTGTACGTGTTGACTTTGATCATCAATAAAATTCGTTCGACAATTGGATTTTTTGGTGTTGAGACTCGAAGCAAATTTGAAAAAAAAACTTCAGTTTCTGAGATTGATTTTGGAGCTGCGTAGCCTCATTTCGCTGCTGGAATTTCGTTGGCTTGAGTCCATTTTGGAACTCGCTTGTGACATCTGCTCGGAGCCAGTCGTTGAAGTCTCGAGGTCGTTTCATCGAGGGCCGGTCACGGTACGATTTTCGTACAAATTTTCATCGGAGCTTGCCGTTGCGTTTTCATTTGGCTACAGTGAAAGGTCCATTTTGATTCATCTCATTTACATGACTTTAAATTCTCATGTGTTTTGGCTAAAATTTCTCTTTGGTTTCATAATCATACTTTCTTGTTGCTGTTTATAAAATGAAATCTGGCATGGATTAATTTGCTAAAAACATTTGTTTAAATTGAAGCTCAAAACCTTTGAAATCAAAAAGGGCACATGTAATTGAGCAAGATATATATACAAGTTTAGTCATAAGTTTCTTTCCCTCTGTTTCGTTTCATTAGATGGTTATTTGACATTTTGGTTCTTTCTATTTTGATTGATGTTGGTCTTAATAGGTGTTTATACTTGTTCAACGATTTTATCAATTTTAATTCCTCAATTATTTGGTCCGATTGATTCACATGTTAATGGGTTGTGATGGATATGCCGATTTGAGCATTAAATGGGCTGAACTATAGTTTTTGTTGTTTAATCAAACTATTATAATCGTGGATACGTTCGCGTGACACGATTATGATTTCCTTAAAAATAAATCGGAGTATACGTTCGCGTAACTTCGGCTAAACTTTCTTAATAATAATAATGCGTTATTAATTGTGAACACGTTCGTGTGACATGATTTTTTGACGCGTCAAACAGATGGGTACACGTACGCGTGACTCATTTCGAGATAATTTTTCTTTATTAAAACGCTATAAAAGGTAAAAGCACATAGGTTCCGAAATCAGTAATTAGACAATTTAGTCAAGCCAAGTATAATCAAAGCGACCGTGCTAGAACCACGGAGCTCGGGAGTGCCTAACACCTTCTCCCGGGTTAACAGAATTCCTTGCCCGGATTTCTGTGTTCGCAGACACTAATACAGAGTCATTCTTTCCTCGATTCGGGATGTGAACCGGTGACTTACATCTCCCAAGTGGCGACTCTGATTTTTAATAAATAAACAATCTCGTTTCGATTGTCCTTTAATTGGAAAAACTCTCTTGTATTTATACCCTTTACGGGGTGTGAGTAAAAAGGAGGTGTGACAATTAGTGAAGTTGTGAAAAAGCCCTAAAAAGCTCTGTAAAGTTGCAGATCCAGTAAAAGGGTGCCACGCGTGAAGAGCATTAAATGGAAGTAACAAATAAAGCGTTGATTCTGTCATAGCATTAATGGTGACAAAAATTCTTGTCTTAATGAAATCCACTTCCCAAATATTCAATTGATGAATAAATGGCAAGTGGGAGAACTATCTGTATTAGGAAAAATTGAGTTTACATATTAAAGTGGTATAAAGATAATGTGTCATGACACATAGACTGGTCAAAGAGTTACAACTAGCAAAGAGGCACGAGTTGAATAGATACGAGCAGAGGCAAAGGAAGATGCACGAGCGGTTATTCAAAAGACTCGGCGCCCGTATCTATCTAAATCCAAGAATCAAGGGGAATGAATCTGACAGTTCATGGGAGTACAGATACAGTACTTAATGAGCCTTAAATACTAAAAACGTTAGAGAATCTGCATTAAATACAATGATTATGTAACACAACATTTAATGTATTTAATTGCCCATAATGACCTTATTATGACAAAGGCAAAACACATATCTTCAAAGTAGCTATAAAAGGGAGAGAACGGATCAATTATAAACACACAAAATATTATCTGAATATACCAATTTACTTGCTTTTCTTCTGATTATCTTATTGCTAGCCAAATTACTTTCTTTCATATATTCTTTTGATTATCAGTAATCCGAGTTCTTCTAAATTAGAGTTTTGACTGCAATCCCATTTTTTGGTTAAATAGGTAGTCTGCAATTTCTTTTGTAAAGTAAGTATAAATTCAATTATGATCACAAAACGTATAAGATGCAAAATCCCCAATTAAACTTTGTATATAGCACGCGAAAATATGTTACAACGACACGAAAGTTGTATGTTTCTAAACAACAAGCTCAAACACCTTAAAATCAACTCCAGAAACTACATACAGACACAAACTTTTACAAGCTATTAGCAAAATTAAAATAGCTTGTCATCAGAAAAAAAAGAAAAAAAAAGTAACTACGAAAAGTAGTAGCGGTCTAAAGCCAAACAATCAAGCGTTGATTCCGGTTTGGGCCGGTTTATTATCAGATCCAGCAGCCATGTTGGCAACGTGGAATTGTGACACGTATTTGTAAGCTGCACCTTCTGGTGTCCTCGTTGGTGGCTCATTCAAATGGGCCCAGTTGCTACTTATCCACCTGCAATTTAATGGAAGTTATAAATTGACAAAGCGAATTTTTGTGCATTATCAATAGGTTTAATTAATGATATTGATGAGAATTATTTTTTTAAAATATATAAATTACATTCAAACATGGTTTTAGTCACAAAAATAATATTAAGTAAAAGTTGAGTTCTTGAATTTCAATGATAAATATTGATCATGAAATTAATACACATATAAAGAATTTTATTCATTTATTCATGATCTTTTCTAATAATATTTAATTAAGTAACAAATTAAGTTAACGTTACAAAAGAATTTATTAGTAATTTGAAATTAGAATATCTTATGAATATTGCTTGTCTTAATAACCATGTATATTATGATTCGTTATGTAGTAATCAATAAAAATGGACAATTAGGTTAATAATTTTATCATAATATTATAATTGATTTCAAATTATAATTATTACGATAAATGATTAAATGCCAATGTTATCCTATTTGAAATTTATTTTTAAGGGTAAAAAGATTTATTAATATTTCGCTATGCGGCTTTGTGCTTTTATATATATATATATATATATTGATTAAAAAAATATAACAACATGTATTTTGCTCGCAAGAAAGAAAAAATATTGCATTCTGTCTATTAAAATGAACTTGAAAATAACTTTTCAATTTTTTTAGAAATGCTCTTAGATCTTTAAAAGTTATGTGTTCTTGCTAAAACTGAAAAGTTGAATATATAGAATTTGGATATACATCAATTTCAAAAATTTAAAGTTTTTATTTTATACTCGAATATAACTTTTAGTAAGTATACTTACATATTGAGATTAGGTGCACACGCAACGTACATAACGTGAATTTTACCAAATAATAAAGTCTCCTAACCAAAAAGAAAATTGTGTGTGTGATTTAATGCAAAAAAATTTAACCAAAAAGATCTCCTAAACCTAAAAGATATTAACTACAAAATAAACGCATTCAATACTCCAACATAGGGGCGAAAATTTAGGCTAGGCAGAATTTTTAACTACAAAAAAGGTCTCCAAAACCTTAAAGCTATAAACTACTCCAACATACGTAGGGAGTAGAACGAATAGGAAAAAATTTAGGCAAAAATTTATTACCTTTCCTAGACGGTTAATAATAGGAGAATAATTAAATAGCTATTCCTAAATTATAGGATAATTAATTAAATGATTATTTTTAAATATTAATGAAATACTTAAATTACTATTTTGTCTAATGTGAACTCTATATTTTAAAGGGTAAAAAAGGGCGAACGACATTTCGCTAAGGACCTTCGTGCTTTTAATATAGTATAGATAAATTATTAATTAACATTTATTGTACAGATCTACTTATAATTAGATGTCATAAACATATAATTTAGCCCGTTAATGAATAGAATTTAAACACATCATGTACATTTTTTTTTATAAAAATAAACTTAAATAGCCGCCTACTCAAAACGCTTAAACTTAGAATTGATGAATATAATATATATATATATATATATATATTATAAAATAATTTATATATACTAACTAAAAATAAACAATTAATTTAATCGGCTATTTGGGTAAAGATTACTTTTTTTATGTAACTAAAACGAGTGCAAAAGTAACAGGATAAAAGGTTATGACTTTCAACTTGTGATGATATTATTTGGAATTATTATCTCCTTTGATAATAAAAGGTTTGACACAATGTAATTTATTTTATTTTTATTTAGCATTATTATCTCCTTTCATGTATTCTAAGTGATATGACGATGTAATTTTTTTATATCATCAGTTCATATAGAACTTATATCTCTCTTTTTTTTTTTTTACGTATTTAAAAGAAGCTAGAAAGGTTAATAAGATCTAAACGTGCAATATTACTGTTTAAATTGTGATCTTTTAATCACCGATAAAGAACAAGAAAAAGTTAATTACCATCCATTTTTCTTGATTAGTTTATCCAAACTATCTTCACTTTCCAGATCAATAAACTCCCCTGAGTTTGATCTTTCCTGCTCCAATTTAGCTGCCTCCTCAAATATAATATTTGCCTGTCTCCAATTAAAACAGCCAAAAGTAGATATTAATTTCTAAAAAGACTATATTACTATGTTTTTTTGTAATTAAAGTGAATATCACATTAATTACTATATAGTACCTGTTTTTGGCTTTGAGGTGATAGCATAGAAATATATCTCTGATGCTCTTCTTCTATTTGTTTCTTGGATCTCCAATATGCTTCAATCTCTTCCTTTGTTAGTGACTTATTTTTCCGATATTTCACTAGAATAATCCAACAAAGAAAATAATCAATAACTACGGCTTAGTCCCAAATAATTTAAAATTAGCTATATGAATCAAAATTTCTTTCTTTAAGCTCAACTCATATCATCATGCATGACAGATATAACTTTTCAGTTACGAATTCAACTAAACCCATAGCTTTGGACATGGAGTATGGATCTATACTTAAAAACTTATTAAAACTTCAACAAGTATTAAATTTGAATCCATAATTTTTAACTACAATAAGTTCAATGTTCTAATTTTTACAAATTGAATTCATTAAATTTAAATGCTGGATCCGACTATACTAAACATAGAGTACTCCTAAACATATAGTAACATTTATAAAGCAAACAAAAATGAAGTAAAAAAGGGGCTAATTTTTCAGTTAAGGAAATAAAGGGACTTACTAGCTTGAGGATCAGAAACAGGAGAATCCCAACCTGCCATAAGAGAACCCATATCTGTTTGCTTGCTAATTTCTTAATTAAACAAATTATAGACAATTCACTCAAGTTGTATGTAAAACCTATTGAAAAACTCACTCTATTTATAGAGCAAGAAGCACACTGTCATAGGTTTATGGTGGGGCCTACCTTAAGTTGCTAATCTTATCTCTAACAAAACAAAAAAATATTATTTGATTATTGGTTTAGAATTAGATTATGTGTTAAACCAGGGACTTGGCCATATGGTTTCTTTATAGTAGTAAATTAAGTGTTAATAGTGCCTGGAATATTTTAGCCGCCCATAGATATTCATGCAAGGTGACAATAGCTTAGTGATGATGATAAAATATAAAGAAATGAAAATATCTTCTATCCATTATGGTATGTCCACTATGTTGTCACGTCAGATAATATAATGCAACATCAATTCTTATCCTTTTGGGCCCGTTTGATTCTTTTAGGGGAAAAAAGGAGGATTGAAAAATAGTGAGCATTTGTAAAGTTAATAAAAAATAGATATTATTTTGTTGCAATATGGAAAATTTCAATATAATATACCGCAGATTGGAGTACAATTGTATGTGAACTTTCAGCATATTATGTAGAAGCACCGGTACACAGAAAGTTCCAGCATAATATACTATAGAATGGAGCACTTGTGTATGAACTTCCAGCATATTATGTTGGAACTCCAGCGCAAGAAAAGTTTCAACATAATATACTGGAGATTGGAGCACCTGTGTATGGACTTTCAACATATTATATTGGAACTCCAGCATGTTATGTGGAAGTTCACATATAAAAAATTCGAACTCTAGCATAGTATGCTGGAATATTTTCAGATTTTGAATAATATTTTTGTTTATATTTATCTTTTACATGAAAGTGACTAAATTTCGATTACTTTTAAAATTGTGACTATTTTTCAATTACCACTTGTAAATTTGATAATCTTTTAATTTCTCCCGTGATATATTAATGATGCTCATGACCGAGAGCGGGCTAACAAGAGAGGGTCAAAAGACAGATCGACTGATTTTTACACTCGTAAGCTTATGAAAAAAGAGATACATATAATATTTTAGGTGAATCACATATCAGAATGGAACAAAAAAGTATAAAGTTTTATAAGATATATTACAATATTATATATAATGCGCGCTTTTAGCTCGATAATACCATTGCCCAAGAGACCAATATGTGAGATCTATTGGATGAAAGTGAACAATACGTATTATGATCATCTTGGGCTATGTCACCAAAAATAAATCAAGCTTTTGTTTTAAAAAAGGCAGAATGACCTAAATGATACTTGTACTTATACCACTTTGTCATGCTGGTCCCCAAACTTAGATATTTGTCAATTGAACACTTATACTCATTCAAAACGTGAATAATAAACGCTTATCCAAGGAGGCTGCCAGTGCGTGTATGACAATCGCCTACACGTAGGACGCCACATCAATAAAATAAAACCATGTAGGCTCCAAGTCACATATGATGGCCAAATAGGATAAAAAAAAATCAGCAAAGGATTATTTACCCCCGCCCCCCAAACCCACATTTTCCCCTCATTTTACAATTATCCACGTACTTAGGGCTTAGATAGTATCGAAAAACAGTGAGTCTCTCCTCTCTTCTCCGTCGTTGTTGCCGGGATTTTCATCTGTACAGTTGTTATCGAAGTTTGTGGGGTAAGTTTCTTCATTTGTTCTTCATATTTTGTCTTTATTGTTCTACATTTCCCTCTATTTATGGGGCTTTTGCTCTGTTTAGGATTTTTTAGGGGAATGTTGGTTAGGTCGTAATTGTTGTTTAATATCCCTTAATATATAGGGCTTTTGTTGTGTTTTGCTACATGTTAGAGTGAAAGCCCATTTTAATGTAGTGTCATGCATGTAATGACATATTTGGTTATTCTGTTTAGTGTTTTGGGTTTTTGTTGTCAAGCAGAATTTCATCCTATGTTTATGCCCTTTTTTGTGATGTTTGTTGGGTCTCCTTCTTGTTAGTGGTCCACCACAGTATTTCTGAATATTATAAGGCATTGTGGGAACGAAAAAGGAATCTTGGAAGCTTTTTTACTTTAAAAATCTGTCTTTTTTGTTGGTTTGTTTATGGAGTTGTGTAAAGGTGCAACTTTTGATAACAAATAGTCATTGATAACACTGTTTTTTTTGTTACTTTGCAGGTATGAAAAGAAAATGTCTTCAACCCTAGTTAACCTACAAATCCACCACAGTGATAATTTTGTATCCGACCCTGACCTAAGGTATGCAAATGGACTAACTTGTCCTCAATTAGCTACAATTGATGTTGATGAGCTACATATTATGTTGTTTCACAAGTTTGCTAGTGACTTAGGATTTTTAGAAGTTGATTTGTTTGGATGCAAAGTTAACAAAAGGGGTGACTATTACATTTTAAAAACAGATGCTGATATGTTAAAGTTTCTTAATACATTGAAAGGTGGTGACTTTGTTGATGTTTGTATTGTCCATAAAATTGGTGAGTCTATTCTTATTGAGGACATAACTGAACTAGACCACACTATACAAACAGATGGGCATGACAGTGGGTTAAATGCTAGGGCTGATGTGTCACTCCCAACTATGATATAAATAGGACTGAAAATGACAAAGATAAGGGTAAAGGGGCAGATATAAATGAAGATATAGAAGAATTAGATGAATGTGAAGGTAATAACTTCTCATCATATCACCTTCAAACATCAGAATCTGATTTTGATGAGGACCTTGATGATTCTAAAGGGTCGGACTCACTGTTTGATATAGATGAGAATATTGAAGAGTGTAGTGATATGGAAGATGATTTAGCTGAAATTAGACAGTCTAAACTCAACAAAAAGAAGAATGACCAAGTAAATGTAGATGAGATACCATCTGGTCCAGTTGGTATAAATGCTGGTTTTGAAGATATGCATAAGAACAAAAAGGGAAAATATGAAGGGAAACTAGGAGGGGATGACCAGTATTTTGATAGCTCAGTTCCAGGTAGTGAGTGTATTAATGATGAAAGAGAACTTGTTACTGATGAAGTAAGGGATGCACCAGCTAGGAATCCAAGTAAGAAAGTCTACTATGACACAACTTGCAAAAAAATATTTTTTGAATTGTATATGATATTTGAGAATGTTGTATAGTTTAGAGACGCATTGCAGACATATTCTATTCAAAAAGGTGTGAATCTTAAGTTGAAACCTAATGAAAAGGAAAGGGTTAGGGCAAAATGCACAAAGAAAGGCTGTCTATGGCATATCCTTGGTAGCATAGAAGGCAACGTTAGTAATTTTAGGGTGATTACATACTACACTGTCCATAAATTCTACAAGAAAATAAGGAACAAGATGTGTAACCCACCATGAATTGCAAAAAAATTCAAAGACAAAATAATTAGTGAGCCCCAAATTAAGCTTCATCAGATTCAAGCCTTACTTAGGAAATCATATGGCTTGTATGTGAGTAAAACTTCCTGTAGAAGAGCAAAAATGATAGTTATGAAGGAGAATATGGGTGATTACAAGAAAGAATTTGCTAGGCTTCATGATTATGCAGAAATGCTAAAGTCTACTAATCCTGACACTATTGTAGTGATAAGGACATCTAAGGATTCAATTCCTAGCAAAGAGGTGTTTATGAGCATTTATGTCTGTCTTGAAGCATTAAAAACTGGATGGTTAGAAGGGTGCAAAAACATAATTGGCTTTGATGGTGCATTCCTAAATAGGACATGTAAAGGTGAACTGCTTTCCTGCATTTCCAAGGATGGAAATAATCAAATGTTCCCTGTGGCTTGGGCAGTAGTTGAAAAGAAATTAAAGGATACACGGTCTTGGTTTATCAGATGTCTCAAGCATGATCTAAACTTGACAGAAACTAAAAGAGAAGGGCTGACAGTCATGTCTGATATGTAGAAGGTATAGTTTCTAATACTCTTTCTTTAAAGTGTAATTGTTTTCATTTATGTTTAAGTTATAACAATATAGTTTTTATGATTGTAGGGTCTCCATCTAGCAATAACTCAGTTATTGACAAATGCTGAGATGAGATGGTGTGCTAGACATATCTGGGCTAATTGGAAGCAAACTCGGCCTGGTGAGGAAAGAAGGAAAAAATTCTGGCAGTGTGCAAGAGCTACATTTGAAGTTTACTTTAGCAAGAAGTTGGATGAAATGGACCAGCTGGGGGGAGATATTGTTCAAGACTTACTGAAATACAACAAGGAAATATGGTGTAGGGCATACTTCAAAGAACATAGTAAGTGTGATGTAGTGGAGCAACATGTGTGAGATATTCAATAGTTGGATATTGACAGCTAGACACAAGTCTATCATTACTTTGTTAGAGGAAATTAGAATCAAGTGTATGGAGAGGATGAATAGCATGAGAGAGTTTTCTGAAAAATGGGTAGGTGAGATATCACCCATGGCTATGGAAATACTTGGAGAGAATGCTCAAATGGCAGCCAAATGTGAAGTCAAATTTAATGGTAAAATAGGGTATGAGATCCAGGATGGGCCATATAAACATGTTGTTGACTTTAGGACATGTACCTGTACTTGTAGATCATGGCAACTCAAAGGAATTCCATGTGCACATGCAATTACAACAATGCATTATAAGAACTATGAGGTTGAGCCATATGTTGACCATTGGTATAGAAATGATACCTACCTTAAGGCATATAACAGATTCATTCAACCTTTAACTAGTATGAATTTGTGGCCAAAAAGCACACTGCCAGCTATTGAGCCACCTGTTATAACTGCAATGCCAGGAAGGCCAAAGAAAGAAAGGAGAAAAGCTGCTGATGAACCAAAGAAGAAGTTTGGGAAGGGTACAAGGATAGAGAGACAAATGAGATGTTCTTTGTGCAAGACTCTAGGATATAACAAGAAAGGATGCCCATCAGCAGTAAGTATTAATGTTTGTTTTGTTACTAATATTGAAAGAATTCAATTACTAGTGATAGTTTTGTTATGTATATGCAGAGAAACCAAGGGGGAAGGGCCGGAACTAGTTCAGTTATAGGTGAAACTGCTGAAAGTGGAACTGCAACATTAGCAGTAGCTGGAAGTGCATCAGTACCAGCAGTTGGATCATCAGCAACAACTGGAAGTGCATCAGTACCAGCAACCGGATCATCAACATCAACATCTTCAACTATGGAAAGTGTTATCTTCACTCCACCAATCATTGATCCAAGCACACAACAATCAACTAATGTTGTAGGAGGCCCAAAAAGGAAGACCAATGAGCCTAGAAGAGGTGGTGCAAATGCAGGGTCTAAGAGACCAAAGGCAACAGGATATGGTGTGCTATTTGATTCAAGTGGCACTATTATACATAGGGTAAATATTTCCACTCAATTACACAATGGTTTACTACATAATCCCTTACTCACAACCTGTTATTTTTGTGCAGTCTGGAACAATTGACAGAGTGGTACACAATCCTTTTACACTCATAAGTTCTGCTCCTACCAACATTGAACTTAGGTTCAAACCACCTGAACTAAAGTGGAAGGGCCGCGCGGCAGTTACACAAAGGCAGCTGCAAGAACAGAGTTACAGAAGGGCAAAGTCTGCTACAACCACTCAAGCCACACCAGTTACACAATCCACACCAAGCAGTCAAGCCACAACATATATTAATTGAAGTGCTCAACTGATATTTACATATGTATGTTTTTGTTGACTGTGGTAGACAATATTTTGTAAAGCTACTTCATTATGTATGTTTTTGTTGACTTCCTATCGTTAGCAATATTTTGTAAACCAACTCCCTTATTTTGAATGTTTTATTAACTGCCTATAACACATGCCATTATATTAGTACTTGTTGTTGTAATGGAGCCTTTGTCAATATATTCCATGAACAAAATTTTACATCAACACAAAATATGTAGCCTAAACCCAGGAAATAAGAAAGTGCACTATCAATCCTAAACAAATAACATAATAGCTAACATTAGAACAACTACAACTACAATTATAATAGCAGCAATTCTGAACTTCGGCCTTCCTTGTCTTCTTTGACAATGGCATCGATCACTCTTATTAATAAGAGCCACAAAAAGAGTCTTGTAGTGTTCTTCCTCAATCGCAGGATCAACCCATCTGAAAAAGCCACAACCTTCACCAATCTCATATCTTCGGCAGCCCAGGATCCTCCTTCCAGGATTGGTGGGTGTTCGTGACATTTTAAGATCTGCAGCAACTCCACAATAACACAAAGGTTCCTTCCTCATTATTGAAGGAGAAGAGGCGGCATTAGCTTATTTGTTGCAGGGGAAGCAGAAAAAAATCGACTTTCAAAACAAAAGGAGATGGCAAAAATTGATGGGTAACAAAGAATCACATGAAAATAAAATTCTATTTTTCACTGTTGAAGCTAACAAAGAAAAAAGAAGGCATCAGATTTGCTAAATTTAGCTTCCATAATGTTCAACAATGGAGAATAAGGTAGAAAGAAGAAGATGGCTGTTAAATAAGCTAAATTATTACTGCTAGGGCTTTTTTAACCGTCTTCACGCCCCTTACATGCGTGTGAATCACACACTGAAGCCACATAGGATAAGTCACGTTGGACAAGCGTTTATTATTCACGTTTTGAATGAGTATAAGTGTTTAATTGGCAAATATCTAAGTTTGGGGACCGGCATGACAAAATGGGCGAGTACATGTGCCATTTAGACTATTCTGCCTTTAAAAAAAAAATTCATTTCAAAGATGCTTCTTAAACACGAACTAAACCCATTTTTTTTCCAAAATTAAACTAAAACCATATTCAAACACCGTGAATATCTTCATGAACAAAGTCAAAGGGCCAATCTTATCCAAGTTTAATTTCTACAGAATTGGAAAGTCAAATTAATTTCTCTCTTTGTTTCTGAATCGTCAGATCACTCTCCATCCGAGCAAACTAGAGTTGCGACATGTTAAAGGCACTGAGCTTTTGCAGATGTTGTCATTACATTATTTATGTTTTTGTTATTTCTTTTTCACCCAAATAGTAAAAATTGACACCCTTGTTAATAGACGTAGATTTAGAATTTGAAGTTAATAGATTCGGGATTATAGTTCATTAAGTTACTGAGTTCTAAATTGATAATTGTACAATTATTCTGGCAAGTTTTTGTGAAATAATTCCGTTTAAAAAAAAGACGTTGAGAGATTCTCAGAGGCAGCCGAACCGGGGTTATCCGTAATTGATAATGGCACAACAAAAAGTAAGACAAATATAAAATTTGAAACAAAATTATTAGGTTTGCTTGAACCCGTATCCCGCATGCTAACTCCGTCCTGCTTGTTATCTCATGAAACCAGATATATCATCTGCCAAATATCTCATAAAACAACATTATCAACATCAAAGTTTGCTTTCTTACTTTTAGAGGTCAATTATAGATCTTATCTCAAGCACGCCTGTCTTCCACTTCTCCCAATTTTATATGTCAAAAATAGCATTTTTCGTGTATGCTTAAAAAAGACATTCCGTTAATTTAATTTGAGAATATCATTTAATATGTATCTACACTGAAGAAAAGTCGTTTCTTAAAAATATCTTTAAAAAAATTCGAGAAACCTTTAATTTTAAGAATATTTCATGCGTCTAGTAATTTCGTCTAATATGTTATACCAATCCTCAACTAATACGTTACGTTAGAAGAAAGATAAAAGATTAAAAGTTGACAGGTAATTAATATTTTGTTTAAGGACAAGACTTTGCTCACATTCTTTTAATAAATAGGGCACTCTCTCTACATAATAAATCCAAGACACAGATCATATTTGTAGAGGGTTCAAAACATTTTTGAACTACCAGACTAATTCAAGAAAAAATAATAATCACAAATTACACGATGAATCAACATTAAGTAAAATATCAGACTAATAAATTAAAGTTTCATGGGCTGCTTCTCTTTTTGTTGAAACTGGTGGAGATTGCTTTAGATAAAGGTATCAAATGTGTGGGCTTAGACCTAATCCAACTTTTTGGGCCCATAATGCTCTCCTTCAAGTAAGGCACAGCATCTTCACTAGACAAAGTCCGTAACCAGTTTACCCTCTTATCTGAACTTGCACCTGGCCCATAACACTTGTACTCTGCAAAATATGATGTCCTGTTTCCAAGAAATAACAAAACCAAGTTCAATGTTTAATGAGTTTAATTTTTATATACTAGTAGTGTGAAAGAAACTTTACACTATGAAATCACTTTAAAAAGATGCACAAGGCATCATGACGAAGATTTGGAGAAGTGCCGCACCCCAAGGAGTATAATGCAAACAGCCTATGCTAATGCAAGCATTAGTGACTGCTTCCACGACTCGAACTCGTGACTTATAGGTCACACAAAGATAACATTATTATTGTCCCAAGACTTCTCTTCACTTAAAAGGATTGGAATTTATAACAAATTAAGATACATTGATAGCGGAAAAGTTCATTATGTTGTCAGTATTTATAAGTTAAATTGGCGTACCTTTGTCGGGAGGGGACATTCCAATCTTCCCAACCGTAGGGGAGAATGACGCTTGACATATAAGTTTGGGCAAAAACTACTCTGGCATAGGGACCCCATGGTCTACCAAGAATTGCACTCTTCACTCCAGTAATCTTGCATCCAACAAAGGTGAAACCTGTATTTTCCTGAGATGATTGTCTATGTTGTGCTGTTATAGCCCCATTTCCTTCTGAAAGTGAATGCAAATGGCATTTCTGCACAAAATAGGAAATAATGAAAAGAAAGAAAAAAAACCAACAGTAAAAAAATATTTATACAATCAAAAGGGCAATATATGAAATATCTCGCATTCATGCAAGGTCCCGGGAAGGACCGCACCCCAGGGCAAGGGGTGTGATATAGGCAGTCTAACCTGATGCAAGGACGGTGGTAATCACGAAGAGACAACTTTAAAGTTGCTCCAAGGCTACCCTTCATATTTATACAAATAGATTACTTAAAAACTAATTATTTTTACCTCAAAGAGAGAAGCGCCATTTCCACATATGAAGTCAGTGTCCCCTTCTATATAACAGTTTTTGTAGTAATGCCTCCCAACATCATCAAGTAATGTGTCCTGATGTGACTTAATTCTACAACCCACGAAGCCAACTCTATCTCCTTCTACCCTCAATGCTACTGCTTTAGCTCCTGTTCCATATGTGTTCTGTAACAGCAACAAAATAAATTTCACTTAATCAAAAAGCTAATACTACATTTTCAATGTTTAAAAATAGGCCAGTCGAGTGAACAAAACATTCTGCATTTACACAGTATTCGATAAAGGGCCGCACTCATAGAGGAGTGATGTAAACTGCCTACCATAATATTTAACTTGTTTAATTAGATCCGAAGTTAAGGTCTAATGGAATATTAATTTGTCGCATGCATAATAAGCGAATATAACCATGTTGCTGTTTCAACTGGCATCACTAATTAAAAATAGGATTTAAGTTATATACACTAAAGCTGAAAAATGTTTTATGCTATTACTTGTTATAGCAGGTTATTAACTTTGCTTTTAGAGTTATCCGTTTGTTACATAATGACGTGTCATTATACTACAACGATAACAACAACATACTTAGTGTAATCTTACAAGTAGAGTCTGGGAAGGATAGTGTGTACGCAGACCTTACCCCTACCTTATAATAATAAGGTGTTATTATCTTACAAGTAATTTTACTCGATGAGCCGTCAGTGTATATTACTTTAAACTCAAAGTTGTAAACATGTGAATAAATAATATAACATATTAAAAGATCCAATTTTTTTGGAAAAAAGCCCCAGAAAATAAATAAAAAAAACGAAATATTATGCATGCAATTACATACCTGAATTGTAAGGTGGCGAGCCACGAAATCAGAGGCAAAAACGGTGAAAGTAGAGGATTCAAATATATCTCCAAAATCATTCCCTGTAATTATAGTATTGTTTACTGGTTTTCTACCACTGATTGTTATAAACGGCTTATCCGCAGGAACAACAATTTTTTCTCTGTAAATCCCAGGCTTAACCGAAATAAATATATGTTGCGAATTATGTGAAGGTACTGCGTCAATTGCATCTTGTATTTTCTTGAAATCTCCATTTCCAGATTGATCCACTTTTATCAAAATTGCAGTTGATAATTGAGTATTTGAGTCAGCTTCAGAACAAATCAGTAAATAGCTCATAGCTAATATAACAACCACCATCGCAGTGTACCCGTGAAAAGCCATAGTCAAAAGCCGTGACGGAGTCAGAAATTCTAACGAGGGGATTCAAGAATGCTACACCTACAATTCAAAAATAATATTGATTGAGTTACCTTGCCGTTACACTAGAATCTTTCCTTTAAGTAAACGAGATTCAACAATATATATGTGTGCAGAAAAATTTAGTTTTTCTGTAATTTTCTAACGAAGGAAATTCAGCTGAACTAAGTACACCTAGCTAGAGGCGGACCCAGAATTTGAATGTTGGGATACACTTTTGTTTTCAACCAAAATCTGCTTTGTATACAGACTGTTACCACTAATATATCAGTATTTTCTAAAACTATATACATGTATTCATAAAAAATTTGCCGAACTTTCAGGGTACCTGTGACCCCTCACTTGATAATAGGTCCGCCTCTGCACTTAGCTCCGCCCCGTCCCAGAAGCTCAAAATTATGATCACAAACTTAGCTTTTTTAGGAAAAAGAATCTCTGAATTTAAGAAATGCAGCTTAAGAAAAATTGAATAATTACCTCCCTTATATATAGAATTGAGCAATGGCCAGTTGATCAAATTTCAACAAGTTTTCTTGTGAATAAAGCACTTCAAACTTCAATATTCAGGTCTTTCTCCAATAGTCAAAGAAAGACAAAACCAAATAAATAACCTCAATTAGTTTGCAGTATATAGCTACTATATTTAGCTTCAACTTTCAAATCAAAAAGAAAAAGAAAGGAAAAAAGAGAATGTATAGCAGTTTGATTAAGGTGGGGGGAAGTTGACAATAAGGAGAAGTAGGCGGGAAAAAAGGAGTGTAATATTCGGTTACTTTGCACGTAGAAATTTGGCGCCGTTATGGTTAAGAATTTGAATAGCCTAAAATTATTGGCAGTTTTTTGAAGTATACGTGCTAAACAACTTCTATATATAATGGAGAATAACCTTCCCTTTTGCCCTTTTTTGGTATGTGAAAAATTTGTTATTAGGATTAGTTATGTAACTGACGAGCTTGACGAGAAAAAATAATGTTTGACTGGTCGAAATGACTTATAACCAAGTCAACTTTTAGATGCATCAAAAAGGAAATAATTAGGCGTAATGTATATTCTTAGTCACTCCAAAAAATAATATCCGACAAAATATATTTTATTATATATGTGTATTATATACATAAAATATACCTATTATATAATATATATTTTGACTAAGGAACACAATTAATTTCGATCGATCGGTCAATTTTATATTTTGTCCAAATAGTCTCAAAAGAGACAATCAAGTATTTCTACTTAAGGCGATGAGTTCAATTCTATCAATCGCGTGATCACTTCTACAATAATTAAGTAAATGCAAAAAAAAAAAAAAAGAGGGTGGAATATAATGATTAATTAATTCAAGTGCTTAATGTACAAATAGGTATCGGTAGTTATATTATGGTTGTATCAGATTCTATTAGTTAAAAGTTGTAATTAACGAAATATTATTAAAATGTTTTATTATACGTTTGGTAACCAATGATGGTCGACCTAAATGTTTTCAATTCCGTGGATATTAATTAAAATTCATATATTTTCTAGTTTTAGTTGGCCAACGTCATTAGCAGATAATTAGTGGATAACCCTTTGTGTCTTGCTCAAGCTCTACATGCATAATTTTTTCTAGTAATCCTTACCATATTTCTTTTAAATTATCTTAAGGCAACCAAGGGTTATTAACTCAGGCAAAAAAAGAAATTCTCTTTAGCATTTATGAATTAAGTGTAGAAGGCAAATACCTTCTCCTTCTTTTTCTATAATGTAAATAAAAAGTCCATGTAAATTAAATACTAGTAATACATTACTACTAGCAAATAATAAAGAAAATAAAAATAAAGGAGCAATAACATCCTCCGAACAAGAAAGTAATTATTGCTTCTTCTTTTTTCAAAACTTTATATAGACTAGACTGAAATTTTATCTATTTGTAGACGGAGCGCCGATAGCAGCTCAGTCTTAAAGGAAGTTGCGAGTGTTATGTTCTTACATAACTTCCATACCAATATTAGCACGGAATTAGTGATATTAGCCCAAGTAACCTTATCAAACTTCCAATAATATTAAAATTTTTGCAGTTGCATCATTAACATATCTAGTATGTGTTTGATTTGTATAATTAATGCTGTCAAATTCTTCATGGAACGGAGTTCAAGATTTGGTCATCAACCATTTATATTTTCCTTCGTTGTTATACATTCTGATCATAGATAAGAGTTCAAGATTTGGTCATCAACCATTTTATCTTCATTCGTTGTCTTAAAATCTGAGATAATTCCGTTGTGGCACCAGAATTTGGTATGAAGGGGCCATAGGGTGCGTGTTTATCCTTAAAACGAATAACAATTAAATTTGTATACGGTTTAATTTAAGGATACATGGATTGATTCAACACAAATAATTAAAAATATTAGATAAATGAGTTAAAAATAAAATGAATAATCAAACCAATTGTGATGTTACGATTGGGCTCGAACCTAGGTTAAACTGTAGTTTTGCCCTCGATCGGTTCCTTGGTTCGAAACCATTACTATGAATGAAGAGCAACAATAAAGTAAGAACTTTGCAATAGCTAAAAAGCAGAAAAAATGAATTTATATTGACTTGGTTCGCGTGTTACAATGTGTTCTGTTAAAGAAAAAACTTCCTCTTTATATAATAAGAGAGTTTTATCCCTAGTACAATTCTAAAAGGGAAAAAATCCTCCATTTTCGTTAATATTGCTGATCCGTAACCGATATCGGGCTAGATCTGCACCGTGATATCCGGTGGGGCAAGGATATCACAACCATCTATTAGTCGTGCGCAGCCGTTTGCCATATTTTTCGAGGTCTTAGAGCTCGCTTTGGGTACAGGAAGTGTTGCTTCATCACGTCTGATAATGAACACATCGCTCACCTGTTATAGGTCTTGACATAAAAGGCTCACATCCTCGATTTCAACGTATGTCCGTACCCTTCTTCCGTCTTCCTCATCGGGAAATCGGGTAGGCATTATTTCTGATTTCACTCGTATACAGTGCACATTATTAAAACTCATGCATTTCTATATATAATTTGGAAGAAAATGACATCAAATATATAAACGAAACAATAGGTTATATCTTTTTCTTCTTTTCTCGCAATAGGTTATCTAACTTCAACAGTCTAACTACATTGACTATTATTGATTTGTCACGATCACGAGTCACAAACTTTCTTAATTTTTCACCTAACAAAAGACTACATTTGCTAGTAGTTTACTAAGACAGTGTACAGAGATGGTAACGTCTAACGGTCTAAGGCTTCAGGTAGTTGAATGCTTCTCGTATAAATAAGCAGTAGCCAGAATTTTATTCGATGAGAATCAGAATATGAAAAAGTAAATATACGAAAAACCCAATGATACTTCCATTTGGCTTAGTTGACTAAAGCAGCTGATAAACATTAAGTGCTTAAAAACACTTTTAAATGCTGAAGCTGATTTACTAAATAAGTAATTACGTATTTGGATCAAAGTGCTAAAACTGATACTAAGCAGCTGAAGTATTTGACGAAAAAGTACCGATAAGTATTTTTTCTATTACAATACCTTAAATGCCCTTAAAGTTATTTACCGTAATAAGAACATAATTTTTACAAGATTTTAAATTAAAATTGGTTTAAGTATTAAATAATTTATGTCTCATTATCCTTTTAACAAAAAATTGATTAGATAAGATTATTTTCTTATATATAAATTAATTTATGATAAGTTAAAAAACAATCATAATCTTTAATATTATAATTAGTATTTTGACTAAATTTTATGAATAAATATAATTAAGAAGTACATAAAATATTTGTATAAAATAAATATGCAATTAATGAAAGCTTGTGTGTTGTAATTAAATTAATTCATCCAACTATCATAAATATTCGAGCAATATAATCACGAGTTGCCATCAATTTTTTTTTTTGGTTTTTCACTCGGTGTTCGGTATCCGTATTGGAGCCCGACTATATTTGTATTCGCGCCGCGTAAGGTTCCATTCGGGGGAAACGCTCCCTACCAAGGATTTTTCCATACCCAGGGCTCAAATTCCAAACCTCTAGTTAAGGGAGGAGCAGTCCCATCCATGCAAAAGTTTGGTAGGTAGCAAACAATGCAAGCAAATTTTAAAAATTTAAAGAAGATGAATGAAGAGTGATTTATGACTGAGCACCTTTCTCACTTGCTTTTGATATAGAAAAGCTTCAAAACTCGAATATATTTTCTTGATGATGGCCGCAGAGTTATTGAATTTGGAGAAAGGACATGAAAAAGGTGAAAGAATGACGTCAAGAAAAGGGTCGAGATTAATATTATTTTAATAAGTGTATTTCAGGAATTATAAAATAATATTAGGGATAGAATAGTAAAATATTTGGTCAACCCTAAAGTGCTTATAAGCTGAAACTTGATAAGTTGAGATGACCAACTTATGTTTTATGACTTATTTTGGCTTATAAACAATTTTTAATTTATCGAACCCGTAGATAAGTCAAAAAGAACTTATAAGCTAATTTGACCAGCTTATAAGCTTAGCCAAACACAGCTTAGCCAAACACCCTCTAACATATGCTCCTTGTGTATAAAAAAGAATGAACCTATTATTATTTAGAGAGTCAAACAAGATTTTCTTTAACTGTATTTTATATAAATAATTCTTAAATATTTTAAATTATTAATTAGCCCGACTTATAGTACTTTTTATATAGTGCCGAAACACATACATTTTATTTTTTACAAATAACTTAAAGAATATATTCGAATTCACATCGAAAGTTTGTCAATTTGATCATCGTACTCCAAAATGATTTACACGGATTGAAACTTATATATATNATTTAAATATTTCTTTATATGAAGGAACAATAATTTTAAATAATGAGAGAAACTTTATGTCACGACCCGGGATTTTCGCCCTCGAGAGTCGTGATGGCGCCTACTCGTGAAAGTTAGGCAAGCCGAGTGTTATTGATTCTATTACCCTTTTTCCTTAACCTTTTAACAATTTCAAATTAACATGTGACCAACAACGGAATAATAAAAATTATAAAAGAAATACGGAAGATGAAATCTGATAGTTTAACTGAATACTAGTACAAAAATTCAAAATACAACTCTACCTAGGACTGGTATCACAAATGTCACGGACCATCTACGAATACTACAAACAGTTGTCTGAATAGAAAAAAAATACAAATCTGCCTCTGATATAAATAAAAACAGAATGGAAAGGATAGAAGGTGACGCCAAGGCCTGCGGACGTCTGCAGGGCTACTTCGGGTCTCCGCTGGACTGAAGGCAGTAACCTCGCTATGGTCCAAAAGCTCCTGTAAAGGGATCTGCACACAGTGCAGTGTGTAGTATCAGCACAACCGACTCCATGTGCTGGTAAGTGTCGAGCCTAACCTCGGCGAAGTAGTGACGAGACTAGGACAAGACTACCAAATAAACCTGTGCAGTTAAAGCATATACGTCAAATAATAATAACGGAAGCTAGCAGTTAAAGATGGAAAGGGGGAACTTGCTGCGGGGAATATCAAATACTAACAGAATTTCAGTAGAAGAGCATTAAGTACACCATAATTTCATATCAACAAGAATAAGGAAAAAGGTAATGAATCAATATTCACTTTTATTCTTTATTGTTGCGGTGTGCAACCCGATCCCAATCATATAATACTGTTGCGGCATGCAACCCGATCCAATATAATACTGTGGCGGCGTGCAACCTGATCCAAATCATATGATACTGTTGCAGCGTGCAACCCGACCCCACCTGTCCTTCCTTATTACTCCTTATTGTGGCGTGTAACCCGATCCCAAATAATATTGTTGCGGCATGCAACCCA